CCCCCCCCCCCCCCCCCCCCTTCGACTGCCACGCCGAAGTGCTGCAGAATACACCGGCCCGGCTCCAACGAGGTAAAGGGGAGGGTCCTCAGAAGGCTCCGAATGCATCAGGGCATTTAGAGTATAGGGTTTAAGGGTTAAGACTTAAGGGTTTTGGGCCGTGGAATGCAAGTCTTGCAAAATCATGGATCCCAACAACATGTCCAAAAAACACAAATAACATTAAAAAGCGATTAGCCGAGGCAGTTTTCAATAAAAGTGGTTGAATTGTGCTAGCCACCGGTCCGACTGTTGCATGTGTCCCTGCCGCTCCATCTAGAGGCGTATGTGCCTGCCCTACCTGCGCTACCCTGTGTGAAGCGCACCACCACCACACCCTAAACCGTAAACCCTAAACCCTAACACCCTAAACCCCAACACCCTAAACCCTAACATCCTAACACCCTACATAAATCCTAAACCAACCACTTGCTCTCCCTCTGGGCCGGCAGGGGCCCGTCACGGGCCAAACCCTCCGATTGATCGCTTGTGCGGAACTTTTGCATGAGGCAGACGGCATCAAATCACCTTTTCTTTGTTTCGCTTTTTGCCTTTTTTTTGTTTTTGCGCTTGGTGTTGTCTTATCACTTTTGTTTCGTTGTGTTTAGTTTTTTGCTTTTAGTGATTGTTTTTGTTTCTTAACTCGGTTGCTTGTGTTCGTTTTGTTTAATTTATTTTGCGCTTGTTGTTGTTTCAACCTTTTTGCTTTTGCTCTTGGTGTTTTCAGTTTCTGGTTGGCCCTTTAAGGCCTCTGAAAAATATTAGTAAACAGGGTCCTCTTAAGCCCAATAAGGGAAAATATAAAATATCCCAAAGGCCTACCTAGGTTTTGTCGTTGCGAGGCATTGGAAGGGCTGGGATGGGGTCTGGGGCCGGAGAAAGCTGCAGGCTGTAGCTACGGCTTATAGGGCTTATAGGGCTTATAGGGCTTTAGGGTTTAGGAATTAAGGTTTAGGGTTTCGGGTTGAGGGTTTAAGGTTTAGGGTTTGGGGTTTAGGCCTTTCTGATTACTGTGGAGTCCGTTTCGGCATTAGCCGTGAGCCATGGGTTACGAATAGTCGCTTCCCCCTGGTTTCGACATGCTGATCACATTTGGCCGCAGCTTTGCCTTTCGGAAATTTTAGGAATTAGGCTTTTCGGATCACATTCGGTCATTTGTTTTTTTTTTTCGGATTTAAGGTTTTTCGGACGCAGAACCTCACTTCTGGTCATTTGCTTTCTTTCGTTTTTGTCGGCTTTGACTGCATCAGTGGTTTTAAAGCTTGAAAGGGATTGCATTTCATAAGTTGAGGGTTTCCTCAGGGTCCGAGGGTATAAGGGTCATGGGCTTCAAGTTGCGGCTGCAAGGCCTACAGCATTTAAGGGTTGGGAATTGTAGGGTCGGTGGGCTTCGGGGGCCTTTACTGCTTGGAGCTTGTAGGCTCAGGGCACGTGCATGTCGTTGTCATTGTTGCGCTTGTCTTGTAAAGGCGTTTTTTGTGCCTGTGTTTTGGGCGGTGGTAGGGTTTGGGAATTAGTTCTGGACATGTGATTCAGCTTTCTGGCGGGAAGTAGGGCATATAGTCCTGTGGGGCCCAAACCAGTGACTTTGGCTGCACAAAGGCTGGCATCGGACAGAGTTTTCCTGCAGTTTCGGCTGCAAAAATGTTATGCGTTTGCCCTTAAGGTCGTAAACCCGGAAAACACTGGTTGTTGCGTCAGCTTGTGCCCTTTGCCTCAAACCCTGAACCCTGAGTCAAAGAATCAAGATGACTTAGTAAGTTGGTTTACCAGGACCCCTAAACCCTAAACCCTCAACCCTAAACCCCGCCTCCACCAAGTACCCTTTAATCGAGCCCTGATGGATATTGATAGTGGCTATTTAGAGTATATTGTAAAAGGATAGTTGGGGGGGCGGGGGGGGGGGGGGGCTAGGTAGGGCTTAGGGTTTGGCCTTAGAGTTTAAGTTGAAAGGCCCTGTGTTTTGGATGGTTCTGGGGGGGTTCGGGTTTATAGGCCTTCTTGTAACATAAAATACAAGTTGTTATGATATGACACAGTATAATGAATAAATAAACTGAATAAATAAATAAATAAATAATATATATATATATATGTATAATACATGAGGTTTGTACATACACAACATACATACATACCTACATACCTACATACATACATACATACATCCATCCATCCATCCACCCATACATCCATACATCCATGCATACATACATACAGACAGACAGACAGACAGACAGACAGGCAGACAGACAGAGAAGACAGACAGACAGACAGACATACAGACAGACGGACAAGACAAGACAGACAAACAGACAGACAGACAGACAGACAGACAGCCATGCATGCATGCATACATATAATCAAACAGATACACTTTTACAGACAACTAGAGTAGAAAACCGCAGTTGTGATATCCTAGAAGGATCCCGCAACAAAAAGACCCAGAAACGGTCTGTTGCACAATCAGGTGATGTCTTGAACTCACTGCAGAGGTGGTCGAGGGATGGTATACTGCTGGTACAGCCACGCCAAGTTCCCCCATTGCTACATCGCTCTTCACCAAGGGGTAGAAGCTGCCACTTGCAAATGATCTGCTCGTTACATGACGACTTTGACAAGTATCCAGCGCACAAGCCCACCGAGATGGCGTCCCGACTTTCGGTCGGCCAGCATTGATAGGCATAGGTGACTTCGGCATCTTCCCAAATGCAGGCTGCCTGGCGAGAGCAATCTGACTCCTCGAGAAATCGACTGCAATCTGCAGAAAGGCTTGCCCGGGTCCGACACGATGTGGCAGGGGTGCAGAGTGTCCCAGCAGCAAAACAGGCTTCTGTCCTTTCTTCGGTATCTAGCAAGGAGCACACCTGGCCAGTGCCTGTTTCGCAGAGCAGCTCTGCGACGGAAGCATTGCACAAGCATGGCAAAGCTCGTTTGGATGGAAGCGTGCGAGTAGTCGTCTGAGTGACCTGATTCCCTAAACCCTAAACCCCAAACCCAAAAAGCCCTAAATCCAAACCCCTAAACCCCTAAACGCTAAACCCCAAAACCACTAAAACCCTTTAAAGGAACCCTAAACCCTCTCTTCAAGGGCCTAGATATTCCGATCCCCAGTCGATTCCACGTCTGAGCCACGGTTGTAGTCATCGTCGACGACAGGAGCTGATGGCAGCATTCCGAGGCCGAAAACCCGTCAGGAGCCGGACTTATCCTTAGTTCCAAGATCCTCGTAGCCATAAGGATGCTTGTTTTTGAGAGGGAGGGGTTTTGTGCTTAGCTAAAGGAAACTACAGCTGGGGAGTTTAGGGTATATAGGGCTTCCATAAGGCTTCTATAAGGTATATAGACCTTCCATAAGGCTCCTATAACGGTAGCTAGCCACCTGAAAATGTCCTAGACTTAGGACTTAATTAGCGAGATTCAACCAAGGAGATCCACAAATGCCCCCAAGGCCCTAAACCACAAACCCCTACACCCCAAAACCGAAACCCGTAAACCCCTGCCTCCAAGAACACCTAAAAGGAACCAGGGATCCATCCCAAAGACTGCTCTGCGCAGAAAGTCGGGCTCAATTCCTCTGGGGCTTCCACGCAGGGCGTTTGGGGCTTTAGGGGGAGTTTGGCGAAGAAGAAGGGTGTTCGGGGATTGGGGTTTAGGGTTTAGGGTTTAGGCGGCTGCCTAAACCCGAATTAACCCAGAGGGTCCATAAATACTGCTGCTATGGAATTAGGCCCCCAAAACCCTAACAAGGATGGTCTTTTGGGACCTAATTCCATGATGGTAGTATATAGGGACCCTCTGGGTAACCCTAAAACCTAACCTCTAAACTTCTAAACCCTACGCCCTAACCCCTAAACTAAACCCTAAACCCTAAACTCTAACCCCAAGCCCTAAGCCCTAAGCCCTAAGCCCTAAGCCCCAGGCTCTAAAAGAGGGTCTCGGGCTTCGGTCCCCGGGCCTGCAACTTGGTGCAAGTCGTCCCAGCCTCGTGCCCCGCAACTGAGATCCACAAGGAGAAGGTCGCAGCCAGGCTAAGCATGCAAAAAACCCCGTGCATAAGTACCTGGGTTTGGGGTTTAGGGGGGGTTGTCTGCATGAGTACCTGGGTTTAGGGTTTAGGGGGGGTTGTAGTTTCGGCCCCCCCCCCCCGAAATATTTATGAATAGGTACCTCCATAGGAACCATAAGGGAAAGTAGAAAAGTTTCCCAAAGCGCCACCCCCTAAACCCCAAACCCTAAACCCTAAACCGACTAGCTACCCACGGCATGAGCGCTGTCTTGTTCTTTGCGTCGGCGATCATCGCCTGGGCTCTTGCTGAGGAGATTCAGAAACCGCTAGACCATAAACCGTTTAGGGTTTAGGGTTTGGGTTTAGGGTTTAGGGCTTAAGGTTTAAAGCCTAGGCTAAAACCTAAGCCCTAATTAAACCCTAACGTGAGTTATCATAAGGATCTATATATCGTGATCCATGGAGTTTCCTTGTTCTGGCAAGTTAAGCTAACTTCCTTAACCCTAAATTAAAGCCTTACAGAACCCTTAAAGAAACCTTGACCATGACATAAGCTAAGCTTCCTAATCCTAAACCCTTACATAGCCCTTTAAACAAAAACCCTGAAGTATGGCAGCTTAAAATGAACTCCTAAACCCTCAAGCCTCAAACCCCCCAAGTTCCTGACACCCTAAACCCTCAACCCTAAACCCCTAAACCCGAAACCTTAAACCCTAAACCCCTCAACCCCTACACCCCTCAACCCTACATCCTAACCCCTATAATCCTAAACCCCGAGTTCCTGAACGAGAGCCCAGTAGCAAGGTGTCCCAAGGAGAGGCTCGCGAAGATGAAGACGAGCCTGGTTTCATTTAATTTAAGCTATCATGGTTTAGGGTTTAGGGTTTAGTGTTTAGGGTTTAGGAGGAAACCATATTATTTACTGTAGATCCCTATTATGCTAACTTAAGTTAAATCCCTTAGCAAGAACCCAGGAGCGTGCAGCCGATGGCGAACGTGAGGAGGATGGCTCCGTCCGCCTCGGTTCCAGGGTTTAGGGTTTCGGGTCTGAGGTTTAGAGGTTAGGGGTTTAGGGGTGTAGAGGTTGAAGGTTTAGGGTTGAGGGTTTAGAGTTTAGGGTTGAGGGTTTTGGGTTTAGGGTTTGATCCGAAAAGTCGTAACAGTGCTTATATTCATAACCTGTGTGACGCCAATCCCTACAACATAGTCGGCTAGGGTAGAACCCATAAAACGGTAGGTTTTGGGATCCCCAAGAATCATATTTGTAATATTGGTGATAATAGTAACGGTAAAAAATAATAATGATAACAATAATTGTCATAGTAGCAATCATCGTAATGGCAATAACCTAAGCATAACTCAAACAACGATATATCATCATTACCCCTAAACCCTAAACCCTAAACCCCTAAACCCTAAACCCCTAAACCCTAAACCCCTAAACGCTAAACCCTTATCCCTAAACCCTAAACCCGAAACCTTAACCCTAAACCCGAAAGCCCTAAATCCCTAGATCCCTAACCCCTAAACCCTCAACCCTAATCCCTAAACCCTCAACCCTCAACCCTAAACCCTAATCTCTATTCCCTAAACCCTAAACTGCAAACCCTATATTCCCTAAATCCCTAAACCGGCCCTAAACCCTTAACCCTGAACCCTAAACCCTCAATCAACCCTTAACCCCGAACCCCGAAACCCGAAACCGCCTGCCATTGCTCTGGGATCGACTCCAGGATCTCTCGCTGCCCAACCTGGGCTTTTGGGTTTAGGGTTTAGGGGTTTAGGGTTTAGGGTTTAGGGTTTAGGGGGGAACCCGTTTTGGGGATTAGGGGCTTAGGGTGTCTAGGGGTGTAGGGTTTAGTGCTTTTGGGGATTAGGGGCTTAGGGTGTTTAGGGGTGTAGAGTGCTTAGGGTTTAGGGGTTTCGGGGTTTAGCCCTTTGGGGTTTAGGGTTTAGGCGTGTAGGGTTTAGGGTTTATGGTGTTTAGGGCTTAGGGTGTGAAGGATTTTAGGGTTTATGGTGTTATGGTGTTTAGGGGTTTAGAGTTTGGGGGTGTAGAGTTTATAGGGTTTAGGGTTTCGGTGGCCCAAATAATTACCCATAATTACTATTTTGGTGGCTCCTTCTTATAAGCATAGCATAATAGACCCCAAAACCCTATCTTGATTATTAGGACCCCTAGATTGCCTTTCTTGGCTAAACAGCCCATTCTTTAGGTTTTAGGGTTTGAGGTTTAGGGTTTAGGGTAAATAATAGTAGGTTTCCCCTAAACATATGATTACGGTAACTTAAACTAGGCTCCTTAACAAGAACCCAGCAACGTAAGCTATCCACAATGCCAGGCTGGGAATCAGACAGCCGCAGGAAATCAGCAGGCCCAGAATAGCAGTTGGTCTTCCATTCTCAAGTTGATCGTAGACCAGCGATGTGCTCAGTATGAACAGGAAGCCAATAAGGAAAATCGTGGCAAAGACTAGAATCCAGGTGGTGCTTGACTGCCTCTCTTCTGGAGTGGCTGTTTCACCTCACTTCTTCAACCAGGCCCAACAAAGAGTTCAATCTTTTTAGGATAGACATAATATATAGGCCCAAATAGTTTAAAGTTCTCCCATTCCCTACACCCTAAACCCTAAACC